CTGTAATTACCTTGTTTATAACTGGAATTACCGATAGTTGTGCTTCAAAGGCAAGAAAGAAGTTTGCTACAGTTTGGGCTTGAATACCCTGGAAAAATAAAGACACAGGATTTCTAGCATCTATCACAAACTTATAATTCAAGACCATTCCACATCTTCACCAAAAGCAGAGGTATAAGACAAAATATGGTACCTATACTTCCATGCATCTGGATATTCTATGTGAAATTCCTTTCACTTCAGGAAGCATTTATTAAAGGGGACTATGTTAGGCTTGGAGACACAAAGGTGAAACATAGACCCTCAAGTCATCAAAGCCTACTATAGGTACTAGAGGCCTCGTGCACCAGTGGGGTCCGGGCCAAAACCTGCTCTCCGACATCCCCCGAGGGGTCCTGGATTGCGAGAGCACGCAGGCCAGGCCAAGGGACCCCACCAGTGCACAATGGGGGCCAGGGAGGGATGCGGGAGGTTGGCCAGCCGGGTAGGGACCGTGGGAAGGCTCCAGGGCGTGTCCGGTTTGTCTCGTCTCGCTCAGTCCTGATCAGCCGGACCCCAGCAGCAAGCTAACCTACCGGTCAGAGCATCTGCCCCCTGGTGGTCCGTGCACATCACAGTGACTGGTCGACAGGTTGACTGTCTGCCTCCTAGTGGTCAATGCATGTTGATAGTGGCTGGTCCACCAGTCGACTGTTTGCCCCCTGGGGGTCAGTGCACGTCAGAGTGAGCGGCTGAGGAGCCTTAGCATATCATTAGCATATCACGCTTTGATTGGCTGACTGGATGACCGGACGCTTAGCATATTAGGCTTTTATTCTATGGGGCAGCTGCGTGATACAGTTTATAAAGTCCAGTAGTTTTATATAAGGTAGAGATTGACTTTCCTCTGGATTTTGAATGAAAAGTTTGTGAAAAACTGAGTATAGCAAAAGTTTATTTTACATAGCATATCGTAATTCTTATATGGTAATTTAGTTACTATGTTCATATGGCATGTTTACAACACAAAAGAAGTTGGTAATGTTATTAGTATGTTTCTTTAAACTTAACACTTCTCATATTATTACCTTAAAATCACCCAAAATGACCTCAAAAATAAAGATTTATTTTCAACATCTGCTAAAAACTGATATGGAACACTCAGATTAAGAGCTGTTAAAAATTGAGGGGTTTTTTTTGGTAGGATGTAACTGACTTATTTCAACAAAAAATACAATTAGACAATTTCTCTGATCGGCTTAAAAATGTTAAAAGATGAACAAATGAATTTCAAAAAAATACTTTAATGTAATAAACTTCAAATTAACAGGACCAAAACATATGATTTTGGTTAAGTAAAACAATAAATCTTATTTTTTTCAAACACAAAAATTGTATTTCCAAAACCCATTTTAAAGAAAACATCTTGAAACAACCAAATAGTCTGTAACATGATATAAAATTAAAGGTACCTACCTCATTTGCATCAACCACCAATAAAACACCCTGGCAAGCAGACAGTGACCTGGATACTTCATAACTAAAATCAACATGGCCCTGAAAAACAAAAGATATTGATACCTCTAAATGTTAGCTACATTTTTTTAGGGGGAGGGGCATTATGGCAAATCTAATGACTCCACAGTAAACAAAAGGTTACTTCAGTTTAGCCCACGCTTGTGAAACAATTTATACTAACCTAAGAACAATGAGAAAACAAAAAAACAAAGTTAGGTGTTTAATGTTCAATTTAAAAAGGAAACAAGGATTTGTTTGCATTATCAATACAAGACTCACTAACAATGGAGACAAAATTAATATTAAACTTACTGGTGTGTCGATGAGATTTAAAAGATACTGTTTTCCTTCACAATTATAGAAAAGAGATGCTGTCTGTGCTTTAACAGTGATTCCTCTTTCTCGTTCCACTTGCAATTTATCAAGAACTTGCTTATTATTCTTTGTTTTATCAATTGTCCCTATAAATAGAAATTCATAATTTTATATGGACTCTTAAAAAGAAACAATACAGTATATAAAATTAAAACAAAATTTAAAAAGCATGGTAAAAGCAACGATCAATTATTCATTGCCATCAATTAACTATATAATATGAAATGAAAATACCTGTTAATTCCAGGAGCCTGTCAGCTAAAGTACTTTTGCCATGATCCACATGTGCAATGATACTGAAATTTCTAATATTTTCAACAGGGAATCTAGACATGTCAACTTTTTCCTGGAAAGGAGGGAGAAAAATTAGATTTATGAGTGTAAATTTCATACAATATGAAACAAGTATAGTGATTCAAGGAATATTCTTTTAATATTCTGCATTGAAAAATTTCATTTATCGCATCTATATTATATTTTTTATTCCCCTAACAATAAAGTCACATATAGTTAAACTCATAAGCAATGAATTATAATGACTTATTAAACATGTTTTACTGTCAAAGGTGACTACGCAACTAAATAAAAGTTCTTAACAGTATTTCCACCATTTAGAGCAGTGGTTCTGAACCTTGGCTGCACATTAGAATCACCTGGGAATCTTTTTAAAATCCTGATTTCTGGGCCTCATCCTCCGGAAATTCTGTTTCTTTGTTATGGGGTGGGGCCACAACATTAGTAACAAAGAAACAGAATTTCCGGAGGATGAGGCCCAGAAATAAGGATTTTGAAAAGATTCCCAGGAGATTCTAATGTGCAGCCAAGGTTGAGAACCACTGACTTAGAGGGTCGAGAAGAAACTGAATTTATTTTCATAGGTGGAGCACACAAGACATCTAGAACTTATGAACTGCCTAAGAACACAGAGTCTAACAAACTTCTTTGAGGCCAAAAAAAAAAAGTTATAGAAAAGCTGGGGGGGGGGATAAAAATGAAATCCTTTGCCTGCATCACACATTTAATTACCAGTTAGGTCTATTTAAAAATCTGTGCTCCAGCCGAAACCGGTTTGGCTCAGTGGATAGAGCGTCGGCCTGACGACTGGGGGGTCCTGGGTTCGATTCTGGTCAAGGGTATGTACCTGGGTTGCGGGCACATCCTCAGTGGGGGATGTGCAGGAGGCGGCTGATCGATGTTTCTCTCTCATCAATGTTTCTGACTCACTATCTCTCTCCCTTCCTTTCTGTAAAAAATCAATAGAATATATTTTTTTAAAAAATCTGTGCTCCTAATAGAATCTTCAAAAGTTTAATTTAGATACAATTTTGTTACTCAGCAACTTCCCTGAAGAAGGAGAAAGGTCACATCAGCAAAAAGAACTCCTATTTATCTTAAAATTCAAAAATATTTTAAAATACAACTCCCGACTTTTAGGTTCACACATCTTCTTAAATTTTTACCAGGACTCATTACAAACTGCTGAACAAACTGGTATTCAAGTAAAATATGTCAGTTTATTTTATAACCAGCTCCCCCAAAAGTGCCATGAAATTACAATGAAATACAACATTCTTATGAGCTTTAAGTTTCCTTGTTATGAATGCTCCAAGAAAGAGAATAACGGTGCAACTATGCCTGCAAGAAATTCTGCAAAAAAAAACCAAAACAAAACAAAAAACTACACTGGATCTGTTTGCCCTGTAGGACCCCTTCCCCGCCACTCAAGAGACACACCGGTAAGTTTAATATTAATTTTGTCTCCATTGTTGGCGAGTCTTGTACTGATAAGGCAAACAAATCCTCGTTTAGTTTTTAAACTGAACATTGAACACCTTTTTTTTCCTCATTCTTAGGTTGGTGTAAATTGTCCCACAGGCGTGGGCTAAACAGAAGTAACCTTTTGACTGTTTAGATTTGCCAGGATGCCCCTCCCTCGCCAAATTTAAGAACTTTCAACTACGGTACAAATTCATTTTAAATTCCACAGTCATTTTAGAAATGGGGAAAACTGGCTAATTTTAAGTCTTATTTTTCCCCCCGTTACTCATAACTTGAAATCAATCTCTTCACTTTCCCGTCTGAACTCTCTCTCCCCACGGATATCGGACAGTGTCGTTTTTTCAGACTTGCTCACCCGCGCCCACCGTCTCCATCCACAGGGACAGAGCCCGATGGACACAGGTCCGCTCCGGCTGCGGTAAAACACAGTGACACCGCCGAAGCCAAGGTATGCCTCGCACTGCTTACATTCTAGGTATTGGACTACAAATTCTCTGCCTTCCCTCCTGCAATCCTCACAAATGGGTATTCGGTGTTTTTTATTCGTGTCTCATGTCGTCGATGCAGTAGCATTCACAGGAGGGTCGAGGGGCTCGCCCAGGTCGCAGGGCTAATGCATTTCAAGGAAACTGAGCTCACCCTAGCACAGTGCTTCTCAACCTTCTGGCCCTTTAAATACAGTTCCTCGTGTTGTGACCCAACCATAAAATTATTTTCGTTGCTACTTCATAACTGTAATGTTGCTATGGATCGTAATGTAAATGTAAACATCTGATATGCAGGATGGTCTTAGGCGACCCCTGTGAAAGGGTCGTTCCACCGCCAAAAGGGTCGCGCGCGACCCACAGGTTGAGAACCGCTGACTGAGCTTCCTCGGTAGGATTTTAAGAGGAAAGTAAGAGATGCGAGGCGTCTAACTCACCGCCTCCCAAAAACTGAGCTACCGGCATCACCAAGGCGGCAACATGTGAAGTGACTGGTCCAAGGTCACCGGCGAGAAGGCGGGGAGCTGAGACACCGCAGCAGCGCGCGCGGCCAGCTCCGCCTCCTTCGCGGGGTCGCCACCCGCGTGGACAGGCCGTCAGTCCTAGGAAGCCCTTCCCGCCTCCAAACCCTCGGGAAGCTCCCTCCCGGTTTCTCACACGGAGCTGCCAGAACCGAGGCGGCGGTCACCTTGCGCGCGGCAGAGCTGCAGAGCCTGTCCAGAGCCCA